GGACTTGTAACCTTGAGATTGGGTTATAAAATTTTTCCACAATTTTGGTTGGGGTTCTAAAAAAGGGTTTTCCTCAGAAGTTCTCGTCTCCTCTTTTTTGTTGTCCATAAACTTAGTGGGCAAGACAACACACAATGCAAAAAGGAAAAATGAAACCCTCCTCCTTTTTTCTGCCCCAGGGGTTTTTTTTTCTATATTGGGCCAAAACCCGTTAAATTTCTTTCCCCAGGGAGTTTTTCAGGAGCAATCACAAAGCTTTAAAATTCCTTTTTTTAAAACCCATTTGAGAAAGGGGGCCCAAAAAAATTTTGGGCCAGCCCATTTTTTGGAGGTTTGGGGTGACATTTTTTGAAAATTTTTTTTTGCTTTTCTTTTCCTCCCCTTTTTTTTTTTTTTGGCCCCCAAAACACACAAAGGGAAAAAACATTGTATAGCAAAACAAAGTTTTTTAATGCAATACGGGTTTTGAGAAAAACAAATTTTTTTTTCAGGGAAAAAAATTTTATTTTTTACACCTGCATGAGATCTTTATAAGATTTCCTTCACTGTTGTCCAAAGTTTGCTCTTTTTTAAAATTATCTCTATATTTAGTATATTAATTAATATTAATTTAAAAAATTAAAAATATATATATATATATATATAATTTTTTTTAATTAATATTTTTTTTTACATTTAAATATATAAATCTAAATATATTAAATAAAAAAAAAAGTAACATTTTGGCTTTAGGTACACTTTAAGGGGGGTGTATTTGTAAATTTTAAAGAGCTATTCATTCCATGAAACTGCACTTGTTCTGTGCAGATGGGCAACATTTTATGCTTTTTTTTATCTTGTGGCCACAATGTGCTATTTTCCTGATTCGTTCTAAGAAGATCATTGGGCCTGGTGACAAAACAGCCTGAACACATTTTATTTTGCCCCCCCCTCCCCCCCCCATTGGCCCAGAATGAATGTTGTGCCGTTAAATACACCCCAAAGGGTTACCAACCTGAGTCTACAGCTGCTCATGGACACAGAACCGTAATGGCCAGGTCTGGACAGATCTGATCCTGATGTCTGTGGCCACCTCCAGACCCTGTTAGATGCTCAAATTGGACATCTTGGGGAAAGGTCAAAGTTGTGCGGTAAATTTTGGTGATTGAAATAGTTTCTTCACCAAATTAGCTGAGGAAAGCCACGGTGCTCCCTGTCACCAAGACATCGTCCATTATGGGTCAAGTACGGGTTCACTTCACCTAGGAGGTGCTTTTTGTCCTCCAACCATCTCGAGAACTTCGCCTAGGGGGTGCTTTTTGTCCTCCAACCATCTTGATAACTTCACCTAGGGGGTGCTTTTTGTCCTCCAACCATCTCGAGAACTTCGCCTAGGGGGTGCTTTTTGTCCTCCAACCATCTCGCGAACTTCGCCTAGGAGGTGTTTTCTGTCCACCAACCATCTCGAGAACTTCGCCTAGGAGGTGCTTTTTGTCCTCCAATCATCTTGAGAACTTCACCTAGGAGGTGCTTTTTGTCCTCCAACCATCTGGAGAACTTCGCCTAGGAGGTGCTTTTTGTCTTCCAACCATCTCGAAAACTTCGCCTAGGAGGTGCTTTTTGTCCTCCAACGATCTCGTGAACTTCGCCTAGGAGGTGCTTTTTGTCCTCCAACCATCTCGAACTTCACCTAGGAGGTGCTTTTTGTCCACCAACCATCTCGAGAGCTTCGCCTCGAGAACTTCACGCCTAGAGGTGCTTTTTGTCCTCCAACCATCTCGAGAACTTCGCCTAGGAGGTGCTTTTTGTCCTCCAACCATCTCGAGAACTTCGCCTAGGAGGTGCTTTTTGTTCTCCAAACATCTTGAGAACTTCACCTAGGAGGTGCTTTTTGTACTCCAACATTCGAGAACTTCACCTAGGAGGTGCTTTTTGTCCTCTAACCATCTCGAGAACTTCGCCTAGGAGGTGCTTTTTGTCCTCTAACCATCTCAAGAACTTCGCCTAGGAGGTGCTTTTTGTCCACATCCATCTCGAGAACTTCACCTAGGAGGTGGTTTTTGTCCTCCAACCATCTCGAGAACTTCACCTAGGAGGTGCTTTTTGTCCACATCCATCTCGAGAACTTCACCTAGGAGGTGGTTTATGTCCTCCAACCATCTCGAGAACTTCACCTAGGAGGTGCTTTTTGTCCTCCAACCATCTCGAGAACTTCGCCTAGGAGGTGCTTTTTGTCCTCCAACCATCTCGAGAACTTCGCCTAGGAGGTGCTTTTTGTCCTCTAACCATCTCAAGAACTTCGCCTAGGAGGTGCTTTTTGTCCACATCCATCTCGAGAACTTCACCTAGGAGGTGGTTTTTGTCCTCCTCTCGAGAACTTCACCTAACACATCTCGAGAACTTCACCTAGGAGGTGGTTTATGTCCTCCACATCCATCTCGAAAACTTCACCTAGGAGGTGCTTTTTGTCCTCCAACCATCTCGAGAACTTCGCCTAGGAGGTGCTTTTTGTCCTCCAACCATCTCGAGAACTTCGCCTAGGAGGTGCTTTTTGTCCTCTAACCATCTCAAGAACTTCGCCTAGGAGGTGCTTTTTTGTCCACATCCATCTCGAGAACTTCACCTAGGAGGTGGTTTTTGTCCTCCAACCATCTCGAGAACTTCACCTAGGAGGTGCTTTTTTGTCCTCCAACCATCTCGAGAACTTCCATCACTGCTTCTCTTCACCAGTTCAACACCCGATATATGAGCTTATATGGTAGAACCCTTAACCGTACCGTCTTCTCTCTCTCCAGGGTGAAGAACGTTCTCTTGAAATCTAACTGCGTCCTCGAAGCTTTCGGAAACGCCAAAACCAACCGGAACGACAATTCCAGTAGATTTGGCAAGTACATGGACATCAACTTTGACTTCAAGGGTGACCCGACTGGAGGACACATCAACAACTACCTGCTGGAAAAGGTGAGCGAAGCCGTACAGAGGAATGCTCTACCTCCCACGCCAAACACGTACCCTTCTAAGGATTTTGCCAGAAATTGATTTGAAGTTGAAATGACCAATTTCAGTTTTGTTGAAATTCCATCTTCCTTGGCCTCGGATATATATAAAATTTATTTTTTATTTTTATTTTTTTTACTCAATTTTAGCTATCATTGCTAATAATAAAACAATAATATTATAATAATAATAATAATAATTTATATGTATACATTTTAAAAAATATATTTAAAAATTTTTGAAACAAGGTGCCACTGATAATAATAATAATAATAATAATTATTATTATACTTTTTTAAGTTCAAAATATTTTTTTCCAAGTTCTTTTAAAATTTTAAAAATAATAACTTTAAAAAAATAAAAATAGATTAAATGAGCTACCACTGCAAATAATAATAATGATAATAATAATATTTTTAAAGTTCTTTTTTAAGTTTTTGCAAAAAAATTTAAAATAAAAAATAGATGAAATGAGCTAGCAATAATATTAGTACTTTTTTTAAGTTCCAAAAAATATTTTTTCTCCAAGTTCTTTTTTAAAGTTTTAAAAATAATAACTTAAAAAAAATTAAAATAGATGAAATGAGCTACCACAGCAAAAATAATAATAATAATGATGATGATAATAATAATAATGATGATAATAATAATAATATTTTTAAAGTTCTTTTTAAAGTTTTTGAAAAAAACATTTAAAAATAAAAAAAATAGATGAAATGAGCTACCACTGCAAATAATAATAATAATAATAATAATTATAATTATAATAATAATGATAATAATATTTTTTAAAGTTCTTTTTAAAGTTCTTGAAAAAAAAAAAGTAAAATAAAAAAAATAGATGTAGCAATAATAATTATAATAGTACTTTTTTTTAAGTTCCAAAAAATATTTTTTTCTAAGTTTTTTTAATGTGTCAAAATAAAAATGAGATGTAATGAGCTACCACTGCTTAAGAAAATAATAATAATAATAATAATAATAATGACAACATTAATTAACTTTTTCTATGTTTTAATTTAATTTTTTTAATTTTTAAAAGTTTTTTTAAAATAAAATAAATTGTAAAAAAATAAAAAAAATAAAAAAAAGAAGAAGTGACGTACTGGTAAAAAACAGCCCAGGGCAAATTTTAAAAGTTTAAGAAAGAATCTGATCTACTCATTTTACAAGTCCATAATAGAGAATCAGAGTCTCCATACAGTTGGATTCACCTGATTGGATACAAGCCGTTCACCCAACACCATCCATGTCTGATATTCCACCAATTGTCTTTGTTTTTGTATCCTCCATCCACTACAATGTAAGTCTGAGGAATATTTGGTAAAATGATTTTTGCCATCACTGGGTTACTGTGCTTCTCTATGCACTCTCAGCAGATCGAATGTATGAATGGTGAACAATGGGCATCGTAGCCACTAGATGGCGCTGAGTTTCATAGTAAATACGTATGCTCATCATCTCCATCTAGTGGCCATCATGCAGTATTGTCCCCATTCACACATTCGATCTGCTGTGACGGTAGCCATAGGATGTTTCCGGGGGGACGGACAGCTGACCCGCGTCTCATAATTCTTCTCTCATTCCAGTCTCGGGTCCTCAAGCAGCAGCCGGGAGAGAGAAACTTCCATTCATTCTACCAGGTGAGCCAGTCTCTGACCGTCTCCTGTACTATGTCCGCAGTCTCTGGTCATCTCCTGTACTGTGTCCGCAGTCTCTGGTCATCTCCTGTACTATGTCCGCAGTCTCTGGTCATCTCCTGTACTGTGTCCGCAGTCTCTGGTCATCTCCTGTACTATGTCCGCAGTCTCTGGTCATCTCCTGTACTATGTCCGCAGTCTCTGGTCATCACCTGTACTGTGTCCGCAGTCTCTGGTCATCTCCTGTACTATGTCCGCAGTCTCTGGTCATCTCCTGTACTATGTCCGCAGTCTCTGGTCATCTCCTGTACTATGTCCGCAGTCTTTGGTCATCTCCTGTACTGTGTCCGCAGTCTCTGGTCATCTCCTGTACTGTGTCCGCAGTCTCTGACCATCTCCTGTACTATGTCTGCAGTCTCTGGTCATCTCCCGTACTGTGTCTGCAGTCTCTGGTCATCTCCTGTACTGTGTCTGCAGTCTCTGACCATCTCCTGTACTGTGTCTGCAGTCTCTGGTCATCTCCTGTACTGTGTCTGCAGTCTCTGACCATCTCCTGTACTGTGTCCGCAGTCTCTGACCATCTCCTGTACTGTGTCTGCAGTCTCTGGTCATCTCCCGTACTGTGTCTGCAGTCTCTGGTCATCTCCTGTACTGTGTCTGCAGTCTCTGACCATCTCCTGTACTGTGTCTGCAGTCTCTGACCATCTCCTGTACTATGTCCGCAGTCTCTGACCATCTCCTGTACTATGTACGCAGTCTCTGACCGTCTCCTGTACTATGTCCGCAGTCTCTGGTCATCTCCTGTACTGTGTCCGCAGTCTCTGACTATCCCCTGTACTATGTCTGCAGTCTCTGGTCATCTCCTGTACTATGTCAGCAGTCTCTGGTCATCTCCTGTTACTGTGTCCGCAGTCTCTGACCATCTCCTGTACTATGTCTGCAGTCTCTGACCATCTCCTGTACTGTGTCCGCAGTCTCTGGTCATCTCCTGTACTATGTCTGCAGTCTCTGGTCATCTCCTGTACTATGTCCGCAGTCTCTGGTCATCTCCTGTACTCTGTCTGCAGTCTCTGGTCATCTCCTGTACTGTGTCCGCAGTCTCCGGTCATCTCCTGTACTATGTCCGCAGTCTCTGGTCATCCCCTGTACTGTGTCCGCAGTCTCTGATCATCTCCTGTACTCTGTCTGCAGTCTCTGGTCATCTCCTGTACTATGTCCGCAGTCTCTGACCATCTCCTGTACTGTCTGCAGTCTCTGATCATCTCCTGTACTCTGTCTGCAGTCTCTGACCATCTCCTGTACTATGTCCGCAGTCTCTGACCATCTCCTGTACTATGCCTGCAGTCTCTGGTCATCTCCTGTACTATGTCTGCAGTCTCTGACCATCTCCTGTACTGTGTCCGCAGTCTCCGGTCATCTCCTGTACTATGTCCGCAGTCTCTGGTCATCCCCTGTACTGTGTCCGCAGTCTCTGACAATCTCCTGTACTGTACTCTGTCTGCAGTCTCTGGTCATCTCCTGTACTGTGTCCTCAGTCTCTGGTCATCTCCTGTACTGTGTCCGCAGTCTCTGGGTCATCTCCTGTACTATGTCTGCAGTCTCTGGTCATCTCCTGTACTATGTCTGCAGTCTCTGGTCATCTCCTGTACTATGTCCGCAGTCTCTGGTCATCTCCTGTACTATGTCTGCAGTCTCTGGTCATCTCCTGTACTATGTCCGCAGTCTCTGGTCATCTCCTGTACTGTGTCCGCAGTCTCTGGTCATCTCCTGTACTGTGTCCGCAGTCTCTGGTCATCTCCTATACTATGTCCGCAGTCTCTGGTCATCTCCTGTACTGTGTCCGCAGTCTCTGACCATCTCCTGTACTGTGTCCGCAGTCTCTGGTCATCCCCTGTACTGTGTCCGCAAGTCTCTGGTCATCTCCTGTACTATGTCCGCAGTCTCTGGTCATCCCCTGTACTATGTCCGCAGTCTCTGGTCATCTCCTGTACTATGTCCGCAGTCTCTGGTCATCTCCTGTACTGTGTCCGCAGTCTCTGGTCATCTCCTGTACTGTGTCCGCAGTCTCTGACCATCTCCTGTAGTATGTCCGCAGTCTCTCTGACCATCTCCTGTAGTATGTCTGCAGTCTCTGACCATCTCCTGTACTATGTCTGCAGTCTCTGACCATCTCCTGTACTGTGTCTGCAGTCTCTGACCATCTCCTGTGCTATGTCTGCAGTCTCTGGTCATCTCCTGTACTGTGTCCGCAGTCTCTGACCATCTCCTGTATATGTCTGCAGTCTCTGGTCATCTCCCGTACTGTGTCTGCAGTCTCTGGTCATCTCCTGTACTGTGTCTGCAGTCTCTGGTCATCTCCTGTACTGTGTCTGCAGTCTCTGGTCATCTCCTGTACTGTGTCTGCAGTCTCTGGTCATCTCCTGTACTGTGTCTGCAGTCTCTGGTCATCTCCTGTACTGTGTCCGCAGTCTCTGGTCATCTCCTGTACTGTGTCTGCAGTCTCTGGTCATCTCCCGTACTGTGTCTGCAGTCTCTGGTCATCTCCTGTACTGTGTCTGCAGTCTCTGGTCATCTCCCGTACTGTGTCCGCAGTCTCTGGTCATCTCCTGTACTGTGTCCGCAGTCTCTGGTCATCTCCTGTACTGTGTCTGCAGTCTCTGGTCATCTCCTGTACTGTGTCCGCAGTCTCTGGTCGTCTCCTGTACTATGTCTGCAGTCTCTGGTCATCTCCTGTACTGTGTCTGCAGTCTCTGGTCATCTCCTGTACTGTGTCTGCAGTCTCTGGTCATCTCCTGTACTGTGTCTGCAGTCTCTGGTCATCTCCTGTACTGTGTCTGCAGTCTCTGGTCATCTCCTGTACTGTGTCCGCAGTCTCTGGTCATCTCCTGTACTGTCCGCAGTCTCTGGTCATCTCCTGTACTGTGTCTGCAGTCTCTGGTCATCTCCTGTACTGTGTCTGCAGTCTCTGGTCATCTCCTGTACTGTGTCTGCAGTCTCTGGTCATCCCCTGTACTGTGTCCGCAGTCTCTGGTCATCTCCTGTACTGTCCGCAGTCTCTGGTCATCCCTGTACTGTGTCTGCAGTCTCTGGTCATCTTCTGTACTATGTCTGCAGTCTCTGGTCATCTCCTGTACTGTGTCTGCAGTCTCTGGTCATCTCCTGTACTGTGTCTGCAGTCTCTGGTCATCTCCTGTAATACACAAAACATATTAAACATCTGGTGCAGCTTTACAGTGTCTTGGCGGATGAATTGATATTCAGAATTTGCTGATATTTAGTGGAATTTATAGATTGAGATCTGAAGTATAAGAGAGGGATGGAGAGGGATGGAGAGGGATGGAGGTGGATGGAGGTGGATGGAGGTGGGATGGAGAGGGATGGAGGTGGATGGAGAGGGATGGAGGTGGATGGGTGGGGGGGGGGGGGGGGGGGGGGGGGGGGGGGTTAGGGTTGGGGGGGGGGGGGGGGGGGGTTGGGGTGGGGGGGGGGGGGGGGTTGGGGGGGATGTGGGGGTGGGGTTGGGGGTGGGGGGGGTGGGGTTGGGGGTGTGGGGGGGGGGATGGGGGGGGGTGGTGGGGGTGGGGGGTGGGTGGGGGGGGCGCCAATTTTTAAAGTGACCAGTGTACACCAATTTTGGGGGGGTGTGGGGTTGGGGGTGTGTAGATTAACATTAGTTATTAATAATTTTAGGTGGTCTGAGGCCTGATAATTTTTGATTGAGATGGAAGATTTTGATGGTCTGGGTTATACGTGATTACAGATTACCTGATTAAGTTGACACATTACACCTAAGTTGTGTTTGGGGGGAATGGTCCTGGGGTTGTGGTGTTGTTTCATTATAGTAGTGGAAATATGTATGATTATAGGATAATAAAAAATATTTTTATAGACTACTGTTATTTATACACCTAACTGATTTCCTTATACTACTACTTCTGTTTTATAACTACTAATAAATCCTAAGGAATGAACTTTACTACTACTACTCCTTCCTACTGTACTCAACTACTAACTATAGTTTTTACTGGTTCCTACTACTCATTTAACTTTTGTAACTTTTCTACCACTACTCCTACTACTCCTACTACTCAAACTACTATTACTACTCTGTTACTACTTAACATCCCTTTACTCCTACTTACTTACTACTAACTCAACTACTCCTACTACTGGGGGTTCTTTACTACTTACTCACTGTTATTTAACTACTACTTTTACTACTCTACTAACTACTACTACTACTGTTTACTATCAAATAACTACTAACTACTCTACTAATTTATAGCTTTAACTAACTACTTTTAACTATTAACAATACTACTACTAACTACTACTACTACTACTCAATTACTACTACTAACTTAACCTACTACTTACTACTCAACTACTAACTAACTACTACTTGAACTACTACTACTACTACTACTACTTACTTACTACTACTAACTACTAACTTTTACTATTCTACTACTACTAAATGACTCCTAACTATTACTAACCTACTACTACTCACACTACTACTAATACAATTACTTCTAAAACTACAACTAGGTAAACTCCTACTTTATTACTAACTACTACTAACTATGCCTACTACTTAAAACTAACTACTACTACTACTACTACTCCTACTACTACTAACTACTACTACTCTAATACTACTACTAAACTACTCTACTACTACTCTACTAACTACTAACTACTACTATAACACTACTAACTAACACTTTACTACTAACTACACTACTAATCTTCCTAAAAAACTACTACTACTATACTACTACAACTACTACTACTACTACTAAACTTACTACTACTACTACCCTACTACCTACTAACTACTAAAATACTACTAACTACTAACTCCTACTAAAACTTACTACAACTAACTCTTCCTACTACTACTACTAACTAAAAACTACTACTAAAAAAAAAACTACTAACTACTAACTACTACTACTCTAACCTAAACTACTACTACTACCTAACTACTAACTAAAAAAAATTACTACTAAAAACTACTAACTACTACTCTACTTAAAAACTACTACAAAACTCTAACTACAAAAAAAAACTAACTACTATTACTACTATTTACTACTAAAAAACTTTCTACAACTACTACTACTACTAAAAACTAACTAAAAACTACTAAAAAAACTCTAAACTACTACTAACCTACTAATTAAATAAAAACTACTACTCCTACTACAACTACTACTACTACAAATTTAAAAAACTACTACTACTACTACTAACTAACTACTAACTACTTTACTACTAAACTACTACTACACTACTCACTCTAACTAAAACTAACTAACTTAAACTAAAAAACTACTATAAACTACTAAAAACTACTTACTAAAAAAACTCTACTAAACTACTAACTACTACAACTACTAACTACTTAAAAAACTACTAACTACTACTAACTACTACTTACTACTAAAAAAACTACTACTACCTACTAACCTAACTACTTACTCTAAACTACTACTACTACTACTCTCTTACTTAACTAAAAAAACTAAACTACTGCCTAAACTAAAAAAACTAACTACTCTAACAAACTTAACTAACTAACTAAAAATACTAAAAACCCTACTAAACTAACTACTATTAACTACACTAAAAAACTAAAACTTAATAACTAAAACAAACTTAAAAACTAAAAAACTAATTTTCTACTAAAAAAAAACTTAAAAAAACCTAACTAAAAACTAAATCCTACTACTCTAACTCTACCCCTATCTACTAAAAAATTCCTAAAACTACTTCTAACTACTACCTCAACTCAAAACTTACTAAAACTACTACTACTACTACTTACTACTCTCTAACTAAACTAAAACTCCTACTCTAACTACTAAAAACTACTCTTACTACTACAACTAAAACTAAACTAAACTAAACAAAACTAAAAAACTAACTAAAAAAACTCCCTAAAACTACTAAACTCCTACTTAAAAAAAAAAAACTAAACTAACTCCTAAAAAACTACTACCAAAAAAAACTTTTCTAAACTAAAAAAACTAAAAAACTAACTAAAAACTAAAAAACTATCACTAAACTCTCTAACTAAACTAAACCTTAAAAAAAAAACTACTAACTAAAACTAACTACCTATCTACTACTAACTACTAAAAAACTACTACTAAAAAAACTAACTAAAAAAAAATAAAAAAAAACTACTACAAACTAACTCCTAACTAAAAAAAACTAAAACTACTAACTACTCCTAAAACTAACTCCTTCAAACTAAAACTTCTACTACTAAAAAAAAAACTAAACTACTAAACTAAACTTTCAAACTTAAAAAAAAAAAACTTTACTAACTACTAACTAAAAAACTAAAAACTAAAAACTACTAAAAACAAAAAACTACAAAAAACTACTACTTAAAAAATACTAAAAAAAAAACTAAAAAAAAAAACCTAACTACTAACTAAAAACTACACTTAACTTCCCAACTCAACTATACTCCTACTAAAAAAAAACTAAAAAAAACTTTATACCTAAAACTTTAAACTAACTAAAAAAACTACTAACTAAAAAAAAAACTTAAAAAAAAAAAAAAAAACTAAAAAACTCTCTAACTAACTACTCTACTACCCCTACTCTCTCTAAACTAACTACTAAAAAAAACTCTACTAAAAAAACTAAAACTAAACTAACTCCTCTCTAAACCCTTCTACTCCTACTACTACTAACTACTAACTTAAAAACTAACTTAAAAAAAACTAAAAAAAACTAAACTACTACTAACTAAACTACTACTAAACTCTTACTACTACTAAACAAAAAAAAAAACTAAAACCTCCTACTATAAACTACTGCTACTTACTATCCCTAAAAAAAAAACTAAAAAACTACTAAACTACAACTAAAAAAAAAAAAAAAAAAAAATACCCTACTCAAAAAAACTACTAACTATAAAACTACTCCTCTACTTAAAAAAACCTAACTAACTCCTTTTAAAACTAAAAAAAAACTACTAAAAAAACTATAAAACTACTCTAACTAACTCCTTACTAAACAAAAACTAACTCCTTAAACTCAAAATAAAAAAAAATTAATACTAAAACCTTACTAAACTAAAACCCTACTAAACTAAAACTAAAAACTAAAACTACTATCCTAACCTTCTAACTTAACTATTTTAACCTTACTTCTAAACTAAAAAAAAAAAAAAAACTACTAAAAAAAAAAAATACTACTAAAATTCTAATACTAAAAAAAAAAAAAAACTCAAAAATAAACTAACTAACTAGCTTAAAAACTAC